CCAGCCCTGGTCCAGCAGCTTCGCAACCCACCACTGGGTTCTCTCCCTGGGCTGTACAAGGACCGTGGGGAGACACCCTGGCCCGGCAGCTCCCCGTCCCACCTCTGGGACCTCTCCCTGGGCTGTGCATGGATAGTGAGGGCAACACCCTGCTGAAGCTAGCCCTGGTCCAGCGGCTCCGCAGCCCACGGCCTCTCGCACTCCGTCCTCACTCCGTCCTTTCGGGGATGGCTTGCTCTCCTGGAGCACGCTGCTTGTTCTTCCTGGGGGGAGGAGGATGCTAAAACGTCCACTTGCTCTTCTGTGTTAGCCATGGGCGGGTTTGAAGGTGTAGTATTTTATCTGGAAAGAATGGAGCTGAGGGAGCTACTGCTTCCTCTCACTGCAGTCAGAGCAGCTTCCCCTTCCAGCTTGGGAGTAGCTGTGTCACAGCCTGACCAGCAGGAAGCCAGAGGTCCACTGTGGGGGAGTCCTCCCAGTGGGCAGGTGCTCCCTAGAGTAAGTCCTCCCAGTGGGCAGATCCTCCCTAGAGCGGGTCTTCCTGGGCCTCCCTGTGAGCAGATCTTCCCTGGGAGTCTTCCCTGGTGGGGTGCCCTTTTGGGGCCCATAGGCAAGGCCTTCTGCCCTAACCTAACCCTAACCCTAAACCTAACCCTAACCCTGACCACAGTAAAAGCAGAATCCCAAACGCACGTTAAGGCCAGGTGCCCAGCGGGCAGAGGAGGAAGAATAGGAACGTCCTGTTTAAAAGTTGTCTGCAGACAATTTCTGGCCCCGGTTTACGCCGGCCTCTTTTTTTTTCCCTATGCATTTTCTTCTGAGCACATTTGCCAAAGGCCTGTCCCTGCCGGCACCATTCCCCTGACGGGTGCAGGGTGTGTCTTTGTCAACCTTCGTGGTGAGGGCTCCAGACACACAGGATGCCAGTGACGGAGCAGCTTCTGCTGGCCTTTCTGAAGACATCGCTCACGGATCTTCTCTGGGGTTTTTTGGGGGGGTTTGTTTATTTGTTTTTTACTTTTCCTCTAAAAGAGATGGTTGTCAGGACAGATCTCTTCTCTGAATTGTTGGCATTAATGCAAACACCTCCTCAGATGAGTTGAGTGTGGGTATTGCCTCACGGCTGGAACCCCACCTCTGCCAGCCTCCGCAGCACAGTGGTTGACAGGCTGAAGGGCCTGGCTTCTTACAGCTCCTTCTGGAAATGTAGGCCTCTACGGTTTTTTTCGATCAAGTAACCAAAATTTTCAAACATTTTAATAAGTAAGGCATGCTTACAGAAGCAGTATGGATCCTGAAGGCCCAGGTTAGTGTTAAAGCCAACGCTGCATTATTTAGCACCAACGTGCAGAGCTAGCCCTTGTCCAGCTGCCCCGCATCCTCGGGCCTGTAGTAAGCTGCACTTCCACCACTGCCCTTCCCAGAGCTGGCTCTGCCTGGAAATGGAATTACAGCAGCAGCGGTTGGGAAATTCACTGCGCCCCTGGGACAGGAACGGGTCGACTTTCTAGTCGCTGTCTTCTGGTCCAAAAGGAAATGGGGTCACACTCTCCACCCGGGTGGGGTTGTGCGTGGCCTTGCAGGGCTGGCTTCAGAGTCCCTTGACTCCCTGCCTCCCTCAGTCATGACCCCCTCAGTTGCTGCTGGGACTGAACTGTCAGTTTTCTTTCTTTGTAAGGAGCTTTTGAAACTTACTTATCTTTCTCTGGATAATGAAGAAAAGTCCATCAGTGATGGCTTGTTTTCCTTCTCTCTGGGGTAGTGACTGCTCCTTAAAATACCAGGCAAATGTTGACATCTTTTTTTTTCCCCCCAACGGACGTGGAGAGTGTCTTCACCGAAAGGCATCCCTTGTGGCACCTTGTGGTAGGTGGTGGTTTGGTAGTAGCATATACACCCTTCAAACAGACATTAGGTCATGTGTGTAGTTTCCACCTGTCTGTGAGCGGAGCCCTGCAGGTTCCTATGGTCAGCAGGGTCCAGTGGAGCTTCCAGACTAAAGCCGACAGTGGCCTCCTTCAGATAATCAGCCAGGGGAACCCCTGGAGGCCACAGTTGGTCTGCAGCCAGTTTGGAAAATGGAGCAGCACTAGGTGGCTTTTCCTTCTGTTGTGATTGGGGTTTTCCGTGCATGCGGGCTGAAGTTCAGCTCAGGTAGCTAATAGCACCAGGGGAGAGCTGCAGAGGTGCCCCAGCCGGCCCCTGGCCCTCCTGTCCAGCCCGTCAGCACCAGGGGACCTGCAGGGAAAGCTGTCCTTCCCCCCTTTTTTGGGAATGACAGAAGTGGTCATTTGAAAAAGTGGATTTTATATATATTTTCACTCTTAAACTTTTAACATCTCATTATTTTGATATTTCAAGTAACACTAAAGAAGTATTAAGAGAAGTACAGCTTTTTTTAAAAGTTAAAGAGAACATTTTTATTTCCTTTGGGTTGTTGAGGGTTTTTTTAAAAAAAATATAAAACATTAGCCTTTTAAATGCTGGTACTCATCCACTGTAAAACTCGCAAAAGAGAGAGAGCTGGTAACGGGGCTGGCAGGGGCTTTGCTCGGTTTTTGTCTGCAACTTAATTATCCTCATCATTATTACCGAATAAAATCAGTGGATTTCCCTGGAAACTCAACATCTCAGAGAGTTTAGGAAGCTCGAAGGGGAGATTGAGATTTGTGGAAGGAAACAGTACCAGTTCAGGGCCGCTGCCTGTCCTGTACTCTTGTATCTTCTAGCCCCTGGCAGAGTGTGTCGTGTGTTGTAAGGTGGGTGTCACTGAACTGCCTCCAGCTTCCATTCCTTGTTGCAGCCCTTGTCTCAGTCCATTGGTCGAGGATCTTCCAGCCCTCTCTTTCCATTATAAAACAACATTTTTCTCCAGGGACTGGTGTCTCCTGATCAGATAGCCAGTGTTAGTGAGAAGGAATCTCGCCATCATCTCTTACGGAGCATTCTGAACAGCCAAGCTTTCTCCAGGACATACTGGCCCATCCTTGCAGTGTTCCCTGCCACACCACAGTCCTTTGCAGTCCTCCTTGTTCATCTTCCAGTTCTGCACGCTTGTGATGCCACTGAAAGAACCACGTGCGGCTCGGGCACACCTTAAGCCGACCCAGTGACAGCGTCACTCTGCCCAGTGCAGGGCACTGTCTGCAGTGCAGGTTTCTGAGCATCGTCGCGTGCTTTGGTGGAAGGTTCTAGAGTCAGCTGGGTTTCCCAGGCAGTAGTTCATATGCTGGCTCTTTGGTGACCTGGGCCAGAATCCCTGCGATGAGTCCCAGTCTCCTTCCCTCTTTCCTACCTTCCTGTTCTGTTTGGATTCGCCTTCTCGTGTTTGGATTGGGGCACATGCTGCCCTTTGGTCTTGTAAGGTTCATCTGTGGACACATTCTTCAGTTTTTTTACAGACTCTGTAAGTGCCTCTCATTTCACATCAGGGTTGGAATCTCAAGGCTGTATAGTCTTGGAGCTCCCTCCAGTCATTTTCTGACCAGTAAGTTAGTTTTTCTTGTATGTGTGTGGTTTGGGTTTTGTCTTTTTTTTACACTTTCAATTTTGTCCTCCTGGTTTTTACCCATTATAACCGGGGCCTTCTATTGTAGAAGGTTTGGTCAGAGGAGTCAGCAGTGGGACTGGACATGGCCTACTTCCAGGCTCAGGTTAAAGGGCCCTGATCCTTGAGGCTAATTTCTCTCGAGTTTATTGTCCTTCATCTTCCGACACATGAGGTGAAAGGAAACCAGCAGGCCACATGCAAGCCTTTAAGACCCTATACTCCACCCACCACACTAATGTTGCTACTCTGTCAGGTTGGCTCAGGGTGACCTTAACGTGTCACAGAACGGAGCGTTGCCTGGGCCTGCATTCTCTCTGGGACTGAGCCACAGAGCCCAGGCTGGACATCAGAAGAGCGACGGTCTAGATTAAATGACCGGAAAGCAAGGTCTTCACCTGAGATTGTTCTGTGCAGAAAGATGTGATGGCAAGGTGACCTGGACCTGGAGGAGACCGCCTTTCCAGGAGGTGATAGATAACCAGCTGGTGGGCATCCTCACTGGAGGCGGACAGGTGGCAGCCTCAGGCAGGGTGGGGGTGAGGATTGGGGGTGGCCGGACAGGTGATGAGGCAAAAGTGGTTCATAGCAGTTTTAAATTCAGTCCATAGCTGCCTTCGTAGTAGTCTGAGGCAGGAGGCCGCTGTTCCTTTGAAATGCATCTGTGTCTATGGAATCACAGTGTGTTGTTAGGAAGCGTCTCAGGTACTCAAACAGCAGTGCTTATAATCAGAGTGAAATAGTTTTAAATTCATCCAGTTGCATTTAGACCCAGTGGTGTGCATTCAGGCGGGGCTATGGGCGATCACAGGTGGGGACGTAGACATTCCTCCACTTGGTTGGAGACTGAAGTATGGTGTCGGCTCTGTGGTCATTCCACACAGGCCAAGCGCTTCGCCACATGTCACCAGACCGCAGAGGGCTTGGTGCATAACGAGGGCAGAAGGCGCCTTCTGGGAGCACACGCGGCTCTGCCCCCTTGTACGTGTTCCCCCTCCTCCAACTGGGATCTGCAATCATCTGCAGCATGTGACGTGGGGATCTGTGTATTTGCACTCTGAATTGTCCTCTGGGGCTTTAAAAAGAGATTTCTTTGGGGGAGGGCAATTGAACCTGCATGCTAATGGTAGGCATTGCGAGTAACAGCACTTGAGCTGAGAAAGTCAAAATCCCCGTTTCCATGGTAACCCTTAACTTGTCTGTGTCGTACACATTTCTCAAGAAATACATTTACCAGGCTACCTCGTGATAAAAAACTGCTCCACAGGCCAAGGCAGGCAGGTGCCCCGGGTTTCTAACGTTTGTGAGGTCTTCCCCCAGGGACTCGGTCAGTCCTAAATGGCACAGGACAGGGATCTGAAGTCTGAGTCCTGGCCACTCACGCGCCTCCTTTTTCGTCGTGTAAATGTGTTCAAGTGTGATTAATTCCGCTTCCTTCCTCTCTCCCTTGCAGATATATGTTGGGTAAAGGCGAAAAGCGGAAGTTTGATGAGTATGAAGATGGGCTGGAAGGCAAAGGCGTGTCTCCCTCCGACGGTCCATCTAAGGTGTCGTACACCTTACAGCGCCAGGCTGTCTTCAACATTTCCCTTATGAAACTCTACACCCACAGGCCCCTGACCGAGCCCAGCTTGCAGAAGACTGTTTTAATCAACAACATGTTGAGGCGAATCCAGGAGGAGCTCAAGCAGGAAGGCAGCCTGCGGCCCATGTTTGCCACCTCCTCCCAGCCCAGCGACTCCCTGAGTGACAGCTACCGAGAGACCCCGCCGGCCTTCAGCCACCCTGTGTCCCTGCCCGCCCTGCCCTGCGACCTGGGGGGCACCGCACCCCTGGAGGCCTGCCTCACCCCGGCCTCGCTGCTCGAGGACGACGATGACACTTTTTGCACTGCCCAGGCCGCGCCTGGGGCGCCCCCCAAGCCCTGCCCCTCACTGCTCCCTCCAGAAAAGGACAGCTTCTCCTCTGCTCTGGACGAGATCGAGGAGCTCTGTCCCACATCTACCTCCACCGAGGCCGCAGCAGCCACCACCGACAGCTTGAAAGGGAACCCCAGCGCCTCGAAACTCGAGGGGCTCCCCGAGGGCCGGACAGAGGACCCGAAGCTCATGGACTCTCTGCCCGGGAACTTTGAGATAACCACCTCCACAGGGTTCCTGACAGACTTGACCCTGGATGACATCCTGTTTGCAGACATCGATACGTCCATGTATGATTTTGACCCCTGCACGTCCACATCGGGGACAGCCTCGAAAATGGCCCCCGTGTCAGCCGACGACCTCCTCAAGACCCTCGCCCCTTACAGCAGCCAGCCTGTCGCCCCGAGTCAGCCTTTCAAAATGGACCTAACCGAGCTGGACCACATCATGGAGGTGCTCGTGGGGTCCTAGGCCGC